TTCTTTTTTTATGCGTGTTTTACGGCGCTCGAATGTCAAATGAGCGCGCTGGACACCTTGAACATTAATTTCAGTTGGTTGGAAATTTTGAGTTTTTTTCCGGGTTGCGGCCGAAGTCTACTCTTATCGATTTCTGCACGGTGTGGTTTGCTTCTTCGTTCCTATTAAACACCTATCGTTATTATCTCTCCTTCTTTTATGTGTTTTATGCTCTTTTGTTACACCTTAAATCTCCGGCACTTTTGTGACCGTATTGTCTCGCAAGTACCGTGAAACTTTTACTAAAACTAAAATTCTCTGGCAAATTAACACCTCTGGTTTTCAGAACTGATATTACGACCTATTTGTATTGCATTTACGGTAGAGCTCTTACTAAAACTTGAACCCAAACGCTTCACAAATTTTACCACGGCTGACCCTGTTGAACAGTCTGTTGGTGGGTGGTTGGCGGAGGCTCTGGTGTGGTTTGCTCCTTCTTTCCTATCGCACATCTATCGTCCTTATCTCCCCTTCTTCTTTTTTGTTTGTTACTCTCTTGTAACTCCTCTTTTCTGCTGGTGCTCATATGACCTTATGCTCTACTAAAACTAAGAGTAAGAGTCTGTGGTGTTGTGGTTGAGCGCCTCATCGTCGCAAACAGGAGACCCGAGCTTGATTCCCGAGTGGGTGAGAATTTTTTTTAATCAGGAATGCCGGCCTTTCTGCTTGGATGTTGTATCCATATCGGGTCCTGGTTGGCTCTGAGACGAAAGACGCAAGGTCGAAGCCTGCCTCGTAAACGATCTAAAATGTGTCAAAGGGGTCGTAAAATCTCCTGCGTCATATTACACACATTCTTTATTTACGTCTGAAATCTTCGGCCCGTAAATTAGCTATTATCTAAATGTGTTGCAAGTACCGTAAAACTGTTTAAAAAACTAAACTCAAACGTCTCTTTTGCGGGAGGGGTGGTTGGCCGGTGCTCTGTTGTGGTTTGCTCCTTCTTGCCTATCTAACATCAATCGTCCTTATCTCCCCCTCCTCCTTTTTTGTGTTTGTTACTCTCTTGTAACACCTCTAACCTTTCGGCGCTTATATGTTGCAAGCTGCAAGTGCCGTAAAACTGGAATTAAAAACTTAACTCAAATGTCTCTTTTCTATTCGCCAGGTCCGACCTACTTTCGATCTCACAGCCATGGCAGACTTCGACTGGTAGATGGTGAGTACCTCTGTTGTTGTACATTGTGCAGTCTTTGTTGTCTGGGTGGGTGAGTGAGTGGGGATTGCACGGGCTCAATAATGGCGTTACCGTTATTCTGCAAGTGCCCAACCCGCCTCCTAAATGATCTAAATTGTGTTGATGGGGGAGTAAAAACACCTACTTTAACCCCTGCCCCCTCCCCTCCGAAAAAATA